AAAAACAAAAAAAAAGGAAATGGATAAGCACTGCCTTCACTTCTTTCTTCTTCTTTTTTGTATAAAATAATATTTTATTTAGAGTTCAACAATAACAAGGGGGGGACCCACAATAACTATCACATCAATTTATTACAATTGACCAACTTTAATAATAAATAAACAATAGTTGAAGAATTACAAAACATCACTTTTAACCTACTCGAGTTTTCATATTTAAGTTTTATCTCTTTATTTCTTTTTAGCAGGTCGAAGAAGAAAAGACCAAAGAAAGAGGTACAAAAAAGAGAAGAGAGAGAGAAGAAAACAAAATATAATAAACACACCTGACTTCCGATTAGATGCATTGTGTTATTATTTCTTCTAATTTTTCACACACAGTTCCAAATTATTGTATTGCTTTCTTTGTTTTCCTCAGATACCAAAAAAATTATATTTGTAGTTTTACAAGGATCATTCTATTTCTTCCAGGAGATATTTATTATTATAATACTTTTCCAGGTACTCTTTAACATTTTCCCATTCTTTCTATACTGCCTTCACTTCTACCATGAGCCTTCACTTCTTCACTTGAGCCCAGAAGGGCGCAGAATATGATACATGAACTCCTTTGGGACCTTTCCCCCTTTGCAATCTTACGATTACAGTTCAAAAATAGTCATACTCAGAATAGACTCATTTACATTAATGGACATGATCGGAATAGACCTACTGAAGTTAATGGGCATGATTAAGTTCAGTGAGTCTACTCTGAGTAAAACTTAGTTGGATGCCACGCAACGGATTTATTTTAAAATACGAAACAAAACAAAAAATAGTTTTCTTAGCCAAGACAGGTTATAATCACCAGATGTGATACTTACTCTCCCAGAGAGGTACTGAGTCCTTCTTTCAGGCTGATTCAGAGAAGATGAGCCAGAGGAGCAATTCTCTAAGCCTTTTTTATGATCTCAGACCACAATAACTAATTTCACACCTTTGGACATAAACACATTTTGTACTAAACTAAAGCTTGTGTTTCACACCTGGCTTTACCAATCTCTATAAATATCAACTTGTCTTGAGCAGGGCATTCAATGTTCCCTGGTGATGGGTTCAAATTCTTCATTCTTCATATTAATGGGGGTTTTAATTGTATTTTGCTTATTTCCTTCCTTTTTTCAGATTTTGAGATCAGTAAATTAAATGTACTGAAGGTTGCGGCTTCCTATGTTGGTTCTGCATTTCCTTCCTCAGCAGCAGCACCTGCGTAAGAAATACCCGTTCATGTCTGTGCTGTGAAAACCACTTGTGATCTCTGCAGAAAAAAACCGTGCAGATTGCTATTCTAACTCCATGAAAACAGCTGCTCCTCTCTACTTGGACTACCTCCTAAATTCCCTTAAAGAATGGTCAGGTGACTAACTTGTTTTGTGTCCCCACAGCAAAGAAGGGAACAAAGTCTTCCTCCCTGCTCTCAGGGCCTTGGGTCTGTGAACGAGACATGTCTGTTGTCACCTCACCTGTTCAGCATTTAGCATGACATGCACGTTCCACCTATAGGGCACCCCAAATAACTCACAAAGCAAATGCGGTGTAGGGTGACAAACAGTGTTGTTACCCTGTAAAGCCACAAGAATCTCCCCACAAGATCTAGCTCAGACTAGAAGACAGATTAAACCAAATGAAAATGCCACTCCGAACATAATACTCCCTACAACATGAGGGTGGCCATCTGTCATGGATGCTTTCACTGAGATTCCTGCATTGTAGGGGGTTGGACTAGATGACCCTTGGGGTACCTTCCAGCTCTACAATTCTATGATTCCATGAGGAAGGCAAAAAGGAAGAGTCCCAAGCCAATTGGGGGCTATCCAAAATATTCCTACACAACCCCTTTAAAAGGTAAAGGTAAGGTAAAGGACCCCTGACAGTTGAGTCCATTCACGAACGACTCTGGGGTTGCGGTGCTCATCTCGTTCTATAGGCTGAGGGAGCCAGCGTTTGTAAGCAGACAGCTTTCAGGTCATGTGGCCAGCATGACTAAGCTGCTTCTGGCAAACCAGAGCAGCACAATGAAACACCATTTATCTTCCCGCCGGAGCGGTACCTATTTATCTACTTTGACATACTTTCGAACTGCTAGGTTGGCAGGAGCTGGGACTGGGCAATGGGAGCTCACCCCGTCACGGGGATTCAAACTGTCAACCTTCTGATCAGCAAGCCCAAGGCTCAGTGGTTTACACCACAGCGCCACCGCGTCCTAATAGAGCCCATACTGTTGAAGGATGGAGGGAGGGCACCAAAGGACAAAGGGGGGAAAGGTTGGGGAGGAGCAGGCTTATAAACCAAGCCATCCCCCTTGACAATTGGCCAAGGCTTTACCCATGCCACCCTTAGCTCCTCCCCAGGACAAACCACTTGAGTCATCTTTTAGGGGGATTTCGGATATGGCTAACTCATCCCTACCATAGAGTGGAAGTAGAATTTCCTCCTCATCCCCTCTTGTGTTGTGATTGTTAAGTCTGTCGATTAGGACTGCCTTAAAAAATAATACGTAATTGTATAGCACTGAAAAACTATACCTGCTTTATAAACTCTTGTTCTTAGCAATAATGAATGCAGGTGCTACAAAGTTTAACAATGAATGAATGTGCAAAACTCTTAAGTATAGAGATTTGATTTACTGAAATTGGGATTGCTTAAATGCGTTACTGTGCATTTAATTCTGAAATGTTCCCAAGTAACTCTTGTGTATTTGGTTAACTTTAGTCACATGGAAGGTACCTTATTACATTCTCCGTTTTGTTTTGTGTGTAAGTGACTTGTAATGGCTGCATCTCCAGGAACACCAAAGAAGAGACAGTGTTAGATAACTCTCTTTCTAAATGCAATAGAGCCGAGTGCTAATTTTTCCCTGTGAAGTCCAGAAGTCCAGTCAGGAGAAGTCTGCTGGGAGAAAAAAGCGGAAACCTCTCATAAGGAACTACATCGGCTGTGGTGAGGACTGCAGGGCCTGCTCCCTTACAAGGTCTGTCTCTCCAGAGTGGTGCATGCTCTCCCGCTTGGACTACTGCAATGTGCTCTACGTGGGGCTACCTTTGAAGGTGACCCGGAAACTACAACTAATCCAGAATGCAGCAGCTAGAATGGTGACTGGGGGCGGCCGCCGAGACCATATAACACCAGTCTTGAAAGACCTACATTGGCTCCCAGTACGTTTCCGAGCACAATTCAAAGTGTTGGTGTTGACCTTTAAAGCCCTAAATGGCCTTGGCCCAGTATACCTGAAGAAGGCTCTCCACCCCCATTGTTTTGTCCGGACACTGATGTCCAGCACCGAGGGCCTTCTGACAGTTCCCTCACTGCGAGAAGCAAAGCTACAGGGAACCAGGCAGAGGGCCTTCTCAGTAGTGGCGCCCGCCCTGTGGAACACCCTCCCATCAGATGTCAAAGAGATAAACAACTACCTGACATTTAGAAGACATCTGAAGGCAGCCCTGTTCTGGGAAGTTTTTAATGTGTGGCATTTTAATGTATTTTTAATATTTGTTGGAAGCCGCCCAGAGTGGCTAGAGAAACCCAGCCAGATGGGCGGGGTACAAATAATAAGTTGTTGTTGTTGTTGTTGTTGTTGTTACATGGCCTAGCTGGGTAACATATCCAGAAGACTGAGTGCAAGTACAGTTGTACCTTTGGTTAAGAACCTAATTCGTTCTGGAAGTCCGTTCTTAACCTGAAACTGTTCTTAATCTGAAGCACCACTTTAGCTAATGGGGCTTCCCACTGCTGCCACGCCACCACTGCACGATTTCTGTTCTCATCCTGAAGGAAAGTTCTTAACCCAAGGTACTATTTCTAGGTTAGCAGAGCCTGTAACCTGAAGCGTCTGTAACCTGAAGTGCCTGTAACCTGAAGCGCCTGTAAACCGAGGTACCACTATACTGGAAAGGGGGGCGGGGGCGCTTAGCACCCTGCTCCCCAAGTCTGTGCCAGCACTCTGCTCCAAATATAAGTCACACTTTAACTTTTCACAGTCAGAATTGGGGGGGGGGAGTGTGGTTTATATTCGGGCCAATACGGTAAATGTAAATACTTTGCAGGGACGCGGGTGGCGCTGTGGGTAAAAGCCTCAGCGCCTAGGGCTTGCCGATCGAAAGGTCGGCGGTTCGAATCCCCGCGGCGGGGTGCGCTCCCGTTGCTCGCTCCCAGCGCCTGCCAACCTAGCAGTTCGAAAGCACCCCTGGGTGCAAGTAGATAAATAGGGACCGCTTACTAGCGGGAAGGTAAACGGCGTTTCCGTGTGCAGCTGTGGCTCGCCAGATGCGGCTTTGTCATGCTGGCCACGTGACCCGGAAGTGTCTCCGGACAGCGCTGGCCCCCGGCCTCTTGAGTGAGATGGGCGCACAACCCTAGAGTCTGTCAAGACTTGCCCGTATGGGCAGGGGTACCTTTACCTTTACCTAAATACTTTGCAGATATTGTTATTTAGCTATATGTTCTCCAAGTAAAAGCTTTTGAATATCTTGACGAGTGTTTGGACATTGCTTTAATTTCAAGAAAACAGTCAGTCCTGCACTGGATTGGGCTTCCTAGCTGCAAATTAGCTACTCTGCCAACAAAATCTACATATGTGTAAAGCAGGAATACCCCAGTGTAACAACTAGAGCTTGTTTACCTTTATTGAATAAATGGGAAAGCAAAGCACAGGCGTTTTCTGAGTCGACACCCACATCTTTAATATACAGTCAACATCTGCAACCTCAAGATGTCGCTGCTCTGCAGTGCCCTTCAGCCTTAGCCTGTATGGGCAATAGTGTGTATTGACAACCACATCTTTTATCGGCAGCCAACATGGTGCATCCAAGTTGCTATTGCTGAGTTCCAGCTCCTTTCAGTCCTTCAGCCCAATAATATCTAGAGGGAGGGCACCTCACTGCTACTCCTAATCGATTGTAATTAATGAGGTGGGTGTATAACTGTTCATAGAAACGGCTGCTTTTCTCCCTATGGCAGCTTCTTCAAGGAGATGCTAGATTATTCCATTGAACTGGCATCATCTGCATGCTGCTGCCATCATTCATGTGGCCGGACTCTTCGCCAGCATTTGTATCCTCTATCGGCATGATGAAACCTTTCTTTAGCAAAACAACAGTGGATGTCCTGAAAACTTGCTTGAATTTCTCCCCAACGAAGAGATAGAGAATTGGGGTGAGGCAGATATTCAAACAGAGGCTAATGCTGAAAATGATCCGCAGGACTTCTACTGTTCTCGGGTCTTTATGAAGCAGCGAGAGAGCATAATAGAGGTAGAAGGGAAGCCTGAAGATGAAGAAGCATGCCACAGAAACCACAAGGACTTGGAAAGGCTTCCCAGCCCTCCTCGCCAGTTTTTTCTTCTTTATTTCCTGACACATCCAATGATAGCAGCCCACAATGATGAAGAAGGGGAACAAGAAGGTGAGCAGAAGCCGAACCACAAAGACTGCCAAATCAATTTTGTAGTGCAGAGCCTCTGCTTTGTCCTTATCCTCGATGATAAAGAAAGCAAAATTTTTCATGCAAACCTCTTTTTTGTCACCTTGAATCACATAGGAAACCAGATAGGGAATGGACATGACCACGGAAAGGGTCCATACTCCTGCAAGCACTCTCCTTGCTCGGGGTTTTGTGCGGTTCCGTCGGGACCAAACCGGATGGCAGGTTATCAAGTAGCGGTCCAGGCTGATGATGGTGAGCAAAAAGACTGGGGTGAGCATACCTACAGCAATGCAGAAGTTGACCGCCCTGCACAAGAATGGGCCAAAGACCCAGCGGAAATTGAGGACATCCTGGACAACAAAAAAAGGCAGACAGGAACAAGAAACCAAGTAGGACAGAGTGAGGTGGAGGAACCAGATGGTATTCACTGTCCTCTTCATCTTCACACAAAGTAACCAGAAGATGTGCCCATTCATGGCTGCGCCCACCAGGAAGGATACCAAGATGATGCTAGCAAGGCCCCAACGCAGGGGAGGTTCATCTGTTGGGTCAACTTGGCTGAGGTTCATTTCTGTTGGTCTGGCCATGTTGCCTTTTTCCATGAGATCCTGGAAGAAGATGGGGGAGAGAGGCAGATGAAGGGAAGAAGAAATGCAAGAAAGAAAAGAATATAAGATGCAAAGAGGCTGAGAACTTCTGGGGTGTCAGTGAAGCTCAGATGCTGACAAGGAGAGAACAGTTAGCAGCGGAAAGCAGAGAGGAGGGGGAGAGCAGCTGTAATCTCTGAGCAAAGGGGAGGGGGAAAACAGGGCCAGAGGGACAGACAGCTGTGTGAGAGCTCTGATAGTGAGCCAGATGTTGGAATGCAGAAAACATTCTCTCCCAAATCTCGTAAGATCTCAAAAGTGGCTGAGACGCGTGAAAGATACCGGAAGAGAAGGTGGGGGCTTCTATGCTGGGGAAGGGGGAGGAGCTCAGTCTGGGCTCTGTCCTAGTTTGTTGTTTTAACAATAAATCTGAAATAATTAACAGCCAGAGTCGTCTCACGTTTGTGGGAGAGACCAAGCCATAACATGGAGATATCTGGAGAAACAATTGGTTCCACTGCACTTCTAAGCTAATGGACTTCACATTCTAAGCTCAAAATAAGATAGTAATTTTGATGCTCTTTAGAACCAACCAATCGTCTCAAGACACCTTAAACCAGAGGCGTGGGAATCTTTTCAGCCTCAGGACTGCATTCCCTTCTGGGCAACTTTCCAAGACCCATGTGAGTGGTGGCCAGGGCCAAAGGCACAAGTGCGTGGAAAGACAGGTGCTAATTATACTTTTGTGCAGTAAGCACACACACTCACACACCTTTCACTATGCTCCTTACAGGCAGGCAAGAGGTCTTATATCCTGCCCTTCCATCCAAAGAAGACCAAAGGGTGGCAAAGTTCAAGGACACATTCCAGCCTGGCAAAAATACCTGAGGTGTGAAGTAGGACCAGTGAGGGGTGGCCTGGGGAGAGTTCCAAGGGCCTGATAGAGATGCCTGGAGGTCCACAAGGGGCCTGAAGAGCCCTGCTCCTACATATATAGGGGAGCTTTCCTAACAACTCTCAACAAATTTCTCAGGATGCTTTGAGGGGAGCCATGGCTATTTAAAGCAGTATGATATTGCACTGGTCATGCTGGTTGGGCCTGATGGGGGGAGCCGGGATCTCACAACATCCCACAACATCTGGAGGGCCATGGGTTTCCCATCCCTGTAGCAAAGTTTCTCCCCCCCCCCCCGAGGGATGAAATCCTAGAATGCAAAATCACCTGCAATTCAGATCTCTAGCCAACAGACCCTCATGTTACCTGCAACACTGATGTCCTCTCTTCCACTTTTCTGCATCTCAAGTTGGGAACAGAGTCTAGGAGAGCTGCCTGGAAGCAGATTTATTGCACCGCGGAAGCGTGCTGGACAGGCAGAAAAGTTCACACAAACACTCCACAAACTGTCCTATCTGCTGAGTATACCTCACTCACCTGACGCATCAATCCGCTGTTCTAAAAAGGCTGGTCCTCAAAGCTTTCTGCTGTCCTGTTCTGCTTTCAAAGATGAAATGATAAAGGCATTGTAGGGTGCAATGTCTTTAAGTTGTGAAATATGAAGCACCGATTTATCTTAAAAATGAATTCTCTGTAACTACTAGCATTGCGTCATGCTTAGTTTCCTGAATGAACTCCTTCACTCCTCTGACTTCAAGGAACAGCCATGTGCTTTCTTCTGATAATATTCTGCGAAAACAGAGACACTGTCAGCCCATTTGGATTGTGGGGAAAAACCCACCAACCACTGGGAGGTGAACTGCAAAGAGGGAACATAATGTGATTCTGCATGGATTGCAATATGGGGCAATTCTAGTTACTGGAGGAAACATTATGATTGAGACACAATCCTGCCCACCACTGAAATATGGAAGGCCAGATAGGAGGAGCACTGTGAATGAACAAGCCTGTAAATCGTGAGGAAGGCAATTCCTAGCCATCTGGTGTGTTTTTCTGTTAAATTATATGAAAACTCCCTGCAGGCTTGGGCAAAATGGTTGATGAGTAGGGCTTCCTCGGAGTGCGCTGTCAAGTCTGCATCATCTGCAAACATCTCTTGGATAAGAACCCACCACACTTTTCAGCTTGATATTCAACTACATTATGCTTAATTTAATTCATAACGGGGGTTGTGGTATGACACAACAATGAACATCGTCAGACATGTCCCCATTCCCCCCTCCCTTTCTAGGCATTTGCACTTCATAAGTAAATTATAAATAAGTAAATTATAAATAAGTAAATTATAAAAAGTAAATGATCTAGCTCTGCCTACACTGACATTCCCGGCGTTCAGAGAGGGGTCCCTCCCAACTCTACTTGGAGATGGTGGAAATTGAACCTGGTGCATTCTGCACTCAGAGCCTGTGCTCTTTCACTGGGTTATGGCTTTCACTGTGACTATCTGAAAGCCGCATTAAAGGAGAAGTGTGAGGACTCAGTGAATAGTTTGGTTATGGAACTCACTGTCAGGATTTCCGCTCGGCCAAGCTGAAAAAGCTCATTTTCTTCCCCTGAGTCCTTCGGAATTGCCTCCCAACAGTTGGAGGCAGTAATGCATCTGAATCCCAGTAGCTGGGAACCACAGCAGGATTGGATGCTCTTGTGCTCAAATCCTGCTTGCAGGTTTCCCACAAGCATCCATTTGAAGAAGAAGATTTGATATCCCGCTTTATCACTACCCAAAGGAGTCTCAATGCGGCTAACATTCTCCTTTCCCTTCCTCCCCCACAACAAACACTCTGTGAGGTGAGTGGGGCTGAGAGACTTCAGAGAAGTGTGACTAGCCCAAGGTCACCCAGCAGCTGCATGTGGAGGAGCGGGGAATCAAAACCCGGTTCACCAGATTATGAGTCCACCGCTCTTAACCACTACACCACACTGGCTCTCACTGTGAGATTTGCCCACTGTGAGAACAGGATGCGGGACTAGATGGGCCATCAGCCTGCTCCAGCAGGCCCATCTTATGTTCTTAGGACTCTCTGGTGGGCCCCGGAAGTATATGTCAGCTGGAAACTGGGACTGAACGAGCCAAGAACCACCAACGGGCTTTACAAAGCTCTTTGCAGTTTTTGCTGCAAGCCTGCCACAGGCTAACATGGTGGCCTTTGCACAAGTTCTGTGGATTAAGGTTGGGAAATACCATGGGGCTGTAAACATGCAGGATGGCCACCGCCCAAAGGCAAGTGGTTTGTTGATGGAGATTAGCAAACAGGGGAGGAAGGGTGGGAGAAGTAAGTACTGATAGTGAAGAATCAGAGGTCCATCTAAAAACACATATAAACAACGACTACACACAGCACTAATAATGGTTTTCGTCTAAAATAAACCTAGATTGAATAAAAATACCTTAATATGGGCAGAGCGTATACTGAAATGCTGATCATAACAAGTATACTAAATTGCTGGAAAGTGAACTTCTATGTTGTGATAATTTTTTATTGTGCCTGCTTGTTTTTAGGTCTGGTTCCCCCTCCCTGTGGTATTTTCTTATTAATGTTATATGGAAACTGCTTTTTGATTTAAACCCGATACAATTCTTGCTCAATAAATAAAGTCATCCAATGATATGGCCCTGTAGGAGATCGTAAGGGAAAAAGTTTGCATAAACTGTAGGAAATATATTGCGTGCTCTCTCTCTCTCTCTCTCTCTCTCTCTCTCTCTCTCTCTCTGTGTGTGTGTGTGTGTGTGTGTGTGTGTGTTACAGATAGGTAGCTGTGTTGGAGGGGTATTACTCTCTCCCCACCTTCTCACTATATAGAAGGATCTGGCAACTTCTGTTTCAGTGTATCTGAAGAAGTGTGCATGCACACGAAAGCTCATACCAAGAACTAACTTAGTTGGTCTTTAAGGTGCTACTGGAAGGATTTTTTTTTTGTTTTGTGTGTGTGTGTGTGTGTGTGTGTGTGTGTGTTATTTATTTGGTTTTTCAGATCAAATTTTTACAATCACATATCCAACATACAACATAAAAACAAGATTCCAAAGAATCTCCTGGACTTCCCTCCTCCCCTTTGTGGGTCCTATTGTTCATCATTTCCTCCTGCATCTTATATGACAATCCAAACCTTTTACATCTCCATTGTGTCCAAAATTCACCATTAAACTACACGTGTTATTCCAATTTTACTAATGATTTTAGCTGTTTACAATGGTTTTTAAGATAAATTATAATTCCCCCCCCCCCATTCCTCATTAAAATTTTGGTCTTGCTGATTTCTGATTCTTTCGGTCATTTTACATATTGCTGTATATATACAGCCCAGGATAGATTCTACATCCAAAATGGAGCACCTGTGGAACTCCAGATGTTGTTGGATTACACCCCCGTAATCCATGACAGCTGGCCATGATGGCTGGAGCTGATGGGAGTTGGAATCCAACAACACTTGGAAGGCCACAGATTCCCCCTTTGCTGTTCTACAGGGAGATGGCAGATCACCTTCAATTGCATCTGCTCTTGCTGTTGCTCGTTCTCACCAGTGCTGTTGTTATCTCCATGTATCTTGGGATCTTCCACAAAATCTTCCCTCAGCAGATCAATAATAGACGTCATGAAGACCCGCTGGAAAATCCTCCCCAGCAAAGAGATAGAGAATGAGGGGCAAAACAGATGTTGCAACAAACTCCAAGGGCAGTAATTAGTCAAAAAAACCACTTTCACAACTTCAGGCACCCCCTTGAGCAACTTGGAAACTTCATAGCGATGGCAAGGGAGATAACAGATGAAGAAACGACACCACAGCAACTACCAGGACTCTGTAAGGATTTCCATTCCTCACTAACTTTTTCTTTTTCATGTCCCAACCCATCCAGAAATAGAAGCCCATTATGATGAAGAAGGGAAGTGGGAAAGCCAGCAGGAATCAAAGTAGAAAGAAAGCTCATGGAGATCCACCGGAGGAAACACAAATGATCCAATGTCCTTCTCCACCTTTTGAGTTTCCCAGAAATCCTATGCTCAGGTTGTATATATGTGAATATAGAAACTGTATATACTAAAGCAGGCATAGGCAAACTTGGCCCTCCAGATGTTTTGGGACTACAACTCTCATCATCCCTAGCTAACAGGACCAATGGTCAGAGATGATGGGAGTTGTAGTCCCAAAATATCTGGAGGGCTGAGGTTGCCTATGGCTGTCCTAAGGGCACCACAATCTCTGCTGACCTTCATTCCAAGGAAACCAAACCCTGGAGAAGCACTTAGAACCCCCAGAATCTCTCACTGCTTGGAGATTGGAATGGCATGTAACAATAGTAATTGGACAAAATTATTGTCTATTATACAGTCATACCTCATGTTGCGTCCACTTCAGGTTACATGTTTTTGTGTTGTGTCCCACGGCAACCCGGAAGTACCGGAATGGATTTTGCTGCTTGCGCATGCGCAGAAGAGCTAAATCGCGCCGCATGTGTGTGCAGACGCGGCACTTCAGCTAGCATCAGTTCCGTGTTACAGGCGGGCCTCCGGAATGGATCCCGTCCGTAACATGAGGTTCCACTGTATGGGCCAGAGCAAAGTTCTTCAACATTAGGTCCCCAGAAGTTGTAGGACTCCATTTCCCATAATCCCCAGCCACTGGTTGGGAAGATGATGGGAGTCAGAGTCCCAAAACATCTGAGGATGGGAAACCCCCTTGGACCTACCTCTTTAGATTGATTCATACCTGATCCAACCTGATTTGGACACAGAATCCAAACTGAAATCCAGAAACCCACATCTTCTGTAGTTCCATTCATTTGCACTGCCAGATGCATTTGCCTCCTCCCCCCCTTACCTGGATACATAAGATTTGGATATATGGTAGCCCTCAAGAAGGGTTTAAGCCTGCCAAATGTAATACAGGTCAGTCCAGAGGCTTTTGTGCTAGACAACTTTTCAAAATGTAAGAGAGGGACAAAGAGACCGTACAGTTGCTTGAGTGCTAAATCCTGCCAGTTCTTGTGCACCTGTCTGGTCTGTTCCATGAAGATTTTAAAAAACAAATCCAAGCTTTATGGTTTAGGTGCACATTGTTTGTACGGTGATCGTTCGCTGGCTGTTCCGGTGCATAATCTAATGGGCTGTGTGCGTTTGTGCAAGACTTCCTGATGCAGTTACACACACATGACAAAGCACTAACAAAGGCAAGGCACATAAGTCAGAATAGAATTGTAAATAAAATGCAAAACTAAATAATCATCATCATCATCTAAGGCCAAAATGCAGCAGGCAGGGAGAGATCAGGGAAATGACATTGCTAACAAGACTGACTGGGAAATGATTGGGAAGCTATCACATGGGTACTGCTGTAAAGGATAAACAAAGGAAAAACTAAGCAAATGCCACAAAACTCTATCTAATATTGAGAGAGTAAAAAGTCGAGCTCTCCTTCTCCCACTTCCCACCTGGTCTCTCTCCTTTTATGGTGGTGTTTTGCAAATCAGCAACACTTTGTCGGCTACC